AGTAAATGGGTATCTTATGTGGTTTGATAAACAAATTAGTTAGGAATGAGGAAGTTTTTAGGGTAGCTGTTTTGAAAGAGAATGTTTTGTATGGAAGTAATTTCTTTGTGAAATAGGATGAAGGAAGTTTATAGGCTCTATTTAGTAGCCAGAGAATAAGATTGTGTTTTTACGATTAACAGAAGTTGAAAAGCCGTTAGCATCATGGTTAACAAGCATGTCCAGAAAGGGAATAAAGTTATTAGTCTCAAGTTCACGAGTGAAGTGTATAGAGAGGTGTTGTGAGTTGAGATAGTCAAGAAAGCGTTGGATATGATCAATATGGCAGAAAGTAAAGAAAGTAGCATCAACGTACGTTCTATAGAGAACAGGTTTGAAGCTGAACGGACAGTTGTCAATCCAGTTCTGTTCATAGTGACAGAGAAAAGTGTTGGCTGGTGTAGGACCCAGTGGGAAACCATAGTAACGGCATCTATTTGCTCATATGGAGTATTGTTAAAGACGAGATTTGAAATCAGATTTAGTAAAATCCATTAACAAGAATGTTTTTAGCGAAGGGATTAGAAAGTGCAATATTAATGGTTTCGTACCGGGGAATATCAGTAAAAAAAAAAAATCAAAGCTAGCCATCACGTGATCTTTAGGGGGGGGGTGTTGACTGATTTCTTGGGGATATTGGGAGGAGTCGTGTTGTAAAGTCGTTCATAGTAAAAGGCGTTAAGATGGGTATAAGGAATCTAACTACGTTTTGAAGCCTGTGGGATATAAATTATTGTAAACACTATCAGAAATAATCTTTCTTTTTCTAAGGAGTCTCTGGGTTTTCCCTTCAAGTTGTAAAGAATGGGTTGATGGTTCCTTGTTTATAAGTTTGAGCTTGTTGCAGTCGTTAAGAATATCAAGCATTTTTTTTAACATAGTGAACTTCGTTTCCTTTGTCCGGTCGGATGATGATGTGTTTGTTTCGGGAGAGATAGCGGACAGATTTGAGGATATCCTGCTGTGTTATCAGACTTGGGAATGCGTGTGTTATAGACGGTGGAGAGCGCTAAGTTTTTTAACTTAGTAGTAAATAGTTCTCCTGCTTGATTAGAAGCATTCTTGGAAAAAAATAGGTAAAGATTTTATATTTCGGTACAAGGATTCCCAGGGATAGAGGTAATTGACATAACTGAGTTTTGAGAAGGGTATGGAGAAGTTCAAACCACTGATTATCACTTAAAGTGATGTTATTGTAGTTGAAGGTCAGGGGGAGATCTTGCTGTGAGTTATGTTGTTGTAGTTGAAGGTCAGGAGAGATCTTGCTGTGAGTTATGTTGTTGTGGTTGAAGGTCAGGGGGAGATCTTGCTGTGAGTTATGTTGTTGTAGTTGAAGGTCAGGGGAGATCTTGCTGTGAGTTATGGTATTAGAAAGTTTCCTTAGTTAAACATTCTGGACAAATATAGTGACAAGCTTAGTGACAAATATAGTTATGGTATATTTTTGTTTTTTTTTATGGGTGACTCTTTTAGTTTTTATTTGCTTTGATTAGGTACAATCCAGTTGTGTTTGAGTTTCATTTATGTGAAATTTCTTTAAAAAGTGCTTTGGAACTTTTGTCAAAATTAAGATTGAACAGTGTTCATGTTTTATAATAATTTACTAAAGAATAACCTTTTCTCTTTGAGGTGGGAATTATGTTGAAACCCTTCCTACCACAGCTACAGACAACTTTCCTCAAAGCTCTCGGAGATGGGAATCGTCAAGTACGTTTAAGGGCAGCATCTGCTCTAAGGCACCTGATCGCGATTCACACTCGTTGCGATCCCTTGTTCACGGAGTTACATAACTCGGTAAAAAACGCGGACGACACTCTCCGGTGAGTACTGTACTGTTCTTCCTGCATATACTGTTTGGTCACATTACATTTTACCCCATAATAAAATAATAATTTCTGGATCTAAATTATCTAAAAATGTTTTCATCATTTTGACTGTATATTTACTGATGATTGAGCCTACAACTGTTACTTGCGTAAGTCAGGTTAATCTTCCTTTTAGTGTTAGATTATTGTGTGTTTTTTTTACCTTCTTTGAGTAAGATTACCATTGTTATAGGCTGCTACTGCTTCTTCTAACAAACTTATTTTGATTGGTCAGTGAGACGATGCTCCATGCCCTGAGGTGTGTGGTCATTTCAGCAGGAGATAAAATGTCAAATACTATTCGTCAAGGGGTAACAAACACAGTTGTGGGAATGTTGGGTCATCACCATGAAGTCTGTAGGGTCACAGCTTCTGGGTGTTTGGGAGCCCTTTGTAAGTGGTTACCAGAAGATGAGCTGACCACAGTTGTTCGAGAACATCTCTTGGGTAAGTATTTACCTGTTACATAATTATGAGTACGTTTACTTATTTAAGAATATTTTATGGGATGTTTAGAGGTAGGTTTTCGATAAATGGTACAAAATAGTCTTGAGTGAATATCTTATCTTTGTTGGTAAATTCTTCATACTCATAATCGTGAAAGTATTTTTAAGAGAATTGTTTTTATGTTTTGACTTTATAGATTTAGTGTTTTTGTCAGTAAATTCTTTCAGAACATTTGGGGGGGGGCAAATACTTGAAAATTTATTTTCTGATTTGGATAAAACGTTCTGCCTTTCATTATTCTTGAAATGTTATTGATCTTTGTGTTCATAATTTTTCATTTTCTAGATATGTTTTTCTGTATTAAGTAAAGTATTCTGCTCTTCGTTATTCCTCAGATATTTTTGTTTCTTATAGTTTGGAGTTTTTTTCAATTTGCAGATGACGATACGTCACAAGACTGGATGTTGCGTCATGGTCGATCAATCTCATTAATGGTTGCTCTCAAAGAAGCACCAGAAAAGTTTACAGATTTGGATTGGACTGAGAGAGTTACTAAAACGCTGATCTCGTACTTAACAGCCGACAGAGTGAGTTATCAAAACTTTAATGGATAGCTTTATTAGTTGTGGAGTGAGTTACCCAAACTTTTGTGGATAGTTTTATTAATTGTACTAATAATGAGGAGGATTTTGTAGTTTCGTTGAGATGTTTCATACACCTGCTGACAAAAGTAGATACAAATTTACGTAAAGAATTTCTGTCCTTCCTCAAGCTATATCACTCACAATGAGGACATCTACACAAAATTAGTTTTATCCTCTGACATCCATAAACTGTTAACCTTTTTTTTTCATGTAGGTTAAATAAACTAAAGGGTTAAAAGAACATGTTATTGTTAGGCCTAAACCAATGCATTGATTCATTTTATTCCTTTTCTTTTCGTTGGTGCTTTTGTCAAGAGATGTGGGATTCAAAGGAATCCCCTGCTCTTAATATTCATTGTGAAAAATCTCATTTCTAGTATAATTCTGGTTTTAAGTTATTGTCTCCGTATCTGCAAACAGTTGAAGTAAGAAAGATTGTAGTAACATTTATTTCATGATGATTTCAGGCATTGCATACCACCATACTAACATAAGTTATGGTAAATATCCTGAATACTTTATGCATTAATTCCTTTTCTTTCTTTTTTTCACAGTTACAGATAGCAGACAGTGGGGTACGAGCAACAGGATACTTCCTGCGTCACCTTCTTGCTACCAACAGTTCCATACCTCAGCTTCTACTCGTTACTTTTTCCAAGGTTTCTTCATTCTTTACAATTGTCTAATCAAGTATTTCAATGTAACATTAAACATTATGAACAATGTATAATGATTGTCAGAATTCTTAACTTTTTGTTGCAGAGATCGTTGTTACCTGATAAACTTAGGGAAAAACATTTTTTTTAATGACATTTTGATTTCTCCCTACCTTTGATCTTTTTGAGGCCAATTAGGGAAGATTATCTTAGGTTTAAGTTTTAATACAACTGTATATTCTAAGAACCTTATAGCTTAAACACTCAAAATGATCTTAAAATGTTAGTTTTTGTCATGCTAAGGCTTAACTAGTGTTAGTAAGCTACAGTCTAGGTTCTGTTATGGTAAGGCTTAACTAGTGTTAGTAAGCTACAGTCTAGGTTCTGTTATGCTAAGGCTTAACTAGTGTTAGTAAGCTACAGTCTAGGTTCTGTTATGCTAAAGTTTAATAACTATTAGTGATCTACAGTCTACATTCTGTCATGCTAAGGCTTATTTAATGTTAGTATTATGCAGTCTTTGTTATATTATGCTAAGGCTTAATTACTATTAGTGACGTACAGTCTACATTCTGTCATGCTAAGGCTTATTTAATGTTAGTGATGTGCAGTCTGTGTTATATTATGCTAAGGCTTAATTACTATTAGTGACCTACAGTCTACATTCTGTCATGCTGAGGCTTAATTACTATTAGTGATGTACAATCTTCGTAATGTCATGGTAATGCATAATTACTGTTAGTGATTTACAGTCTGGTTTATGTCATGCTGAGGCTTAACTACTATTAGTGATGTAGAGTCTGGGTTATATTATGCTAAGGCTTAACTAGTGTTAGTAATCTACAGTCTAGGTTATGTTATGCTAAGGCTTAATTTATGTTAGTCGTGTACAATCTGGGTTCTGTCATGCTAATGTTACTATTAGTGATGTACAGTCTGGATTCTATTATGATAAGGCTTAACTACTATTAGTGATCTATGGTCTGAGTTCTGTCATGCTAAGGATTAATTACTATTAGTGATGTACAGTCTGGATTCTATTATGATAAGGCTTAACTACTATTAGTGATCTATGGTCTGAGTTCTGTCATGCTAAGGCTTAGTTACTATTAATGATGTACAGTCTGAGTTCTATCATGCTAAGGATTAATTACTATTAGTGATGTACAATTTAAGCTGGAAGTTATGTTTATTTGTAAATATTGAAGATGTAATGATGTACTTGTTTTGTTTCTGTTGTTCTGCTGATGCCACCATTACAGTATTTTGTTTTTTTCATATTCCTTTTGAAGTCAGCGTAGTTACAGTTCATTTTTAGGTATGTTTGTGTGGAAGTGCTCTTATGTTAATTTCTAAGGTTTTTATTTATTGTTTGGTTTCCGACAGATCTCCGAATACAATAGTTTGATCTGTTTTTTTTTTCCTTGCCTAGTGCATGAATCATAGCATCAATGAAGTGAAGCAAGTTGTAGCGCTAACATCCACATACCTGGCAAAGACGCGTGATCAGTTACTACCACCCCAAGTGTTAAAAGTACTCGTGCCACTCCTCGTAAATGGAACCAAAGAGAAGAATTCCATAGTAAAAGCAAACAGTGAATATGCTCTTGTGGCAATTCTGAAACTGAGGTTTGGGGAAGAGGCACAACAAGTAAGTAAAAATCCAGATTTGAAATATTAAACACATGGGATGATTTACTGATTCGTAGAGCTTTGAGCTACATCACTTGTTAGAAGTCCAATGTGGTTGAGAAAGTTATCCAGCTGACTTTATTACTTCAAGGTACAATCCTAGTTTACTTCAGGGTACAACAGTAGGTACAAACCTATTTACTTCAGGGTACAACAGTAGGTACAAACCTATTTACTTCAGGGTACAACAGTAGGTACAAACCTATTTACTTCAGGGTACAACAATAGGTACAAACCTATTTACTTCAGGGTACAACAGTAGGTACAAACCTATTTACTTCAGGGTACAACAGTAGGTACAAACCTATTTACTTCAAGGTACATCAGTAGGTACAAACCTAGTTTACTTCAGGGTACAACAGTAGGTACAAACCTATTTACTTCAGGGTACAACAATAGGTACAAACCTATTTACTTCAAGGTACAACAGTAGGTACAAACCTATTTACTTCAAGGGTACAACAATAGGTACAATCCTAGTTTACTTCAGGGTACAACAATAGGTACAAACCTATTTATTTCAGGGTACAACAATAGGTACAAACCTATTTACTTCAAGGTACAACAGTAGGTACAAACCTATTTACTTCAGGGTACAACAGTAGGTACAAACCTATTTACTTCAAGGTACAACAGTAGGTACAAACCTATTTACTTCAGGGTACAACAGTAGGTACAAACCTATTTACTTCAGGGTACAACAGTAGGTACAAACCTATATATTTAAATATTTCTATTAATTTTTCTTCTGTTTCATTAATGGAAGAATTTTGGTTGGCAGTAATTTTTGATTGATCCAAATTTATTTTGTGGGCTGGTTATGTGGCAAAATATTGTTAGTTATGTAGCAACAATAACAAAACATTGTTAGTTATGTAGTAATGGTAACAACACATTGTTAGTTATGTAGTAAGGGTAACAAAACATTGTTAGTTATGTAGCAACGATAACAAAATATTGTTAGTTATGTAGCAACGATAACAAAACATTGTTAGTTATGTATAATGGTAACAAAACATTGTTAGTTATGTAGTAATGGTAACAAAACATTGTTAGTTATGTAGTAAGGGTAACAAAACATTGTTAGTTATGTAGCAACGATAACAACACTTATTTAGTTATGTAGTAATGGTAACAAAACATTGTTAGTTATGTAATAAGGATAACAAAACATTGTTAGTTATGTAGTAATTGTAACAAAACATTTAGTTATGTAGTAATGGTAACAAAACATTGTTAGTAATGTAGCAACGATAACAAAACATTGTTAATTATGTAGTAAGGATAACAAAACATTGTTAGTAATGTAGCAACGATGACAAAACATTGTTAGTTATGTAATAAGGATAACAAAACATTTAGTTATGTAGTAATGGTAACAAATCATTGTTAGTTATGTAGTAAGGATAACAAAACATTGTTAGTAATGTAGCAACGATAATAAAACGTTAGTTATGTAGCAATGATAACAAAACATTGTTAGTTATGTAGCAAGGATAACAACACTTATTTAGTTTTATAATAAGGATAACCATGCATCTTTATATTTTTGCATATTATATTTTTAAAATGTTAAAATATTGTTTGTCATACAGAAATCGGTACAATGAAATTATATAACTTCTATGTTTGTTTGTTTTCTAATTTTAGGAATGTGTGAGACTCTTAGACCCTGGTGCAAGAGATGCTCTTGTAGATGTAATCCACAAAGTTCTACGGAAGGTATCTAGCCAGCCTGAATCAAAGGAAGAAAATCTAGACACCACTTTGTTACTGTGAAACCATTTGTAAAGAATATGTAATTAGGGTCGCAATTTTTGTCGTCTCAAATGTTTCTGTCGATTTGTTCGAGTTAAACCTTTCCTTTATACGAGACCTGATTGTACACACGTTATGATCAATAAAATTTCAAGAGTGAACTTATTATTTGCGACTATTTCTGTTTACAATCTAATAATTCGAGAAATGGTTTCAGGTTAGAAAATATTCATTATTTTTTTGGTTGTGAGAAATTACAAATAAAAATCATTATTCCAGCTGTAAGATTTTACATTCTAGTAAACCATCTTACACTGTATGTTTTGTTTTGAATATTTACAAGTACAGAGTAGGGTAAAACCGGTGTCAGAGTATAAGATCTTACCCCCCACATTCTGTAAAGATAAAACTTAAACATTCCATAATGTTATTCATAGTTTTGTGACAGGTGATTATCAGTTATACTTGTACAATAAAACCAACCATTTAGTAAAAAAACGTTGATTAGTTAATGGAGAATTTCTCATGAAGTTTACAGCAAGCAAACTTTGTACAAAAGCCACCCGATTTCAGTTTTCTCTACTGAGTTAGATCAAGAACAATGTGCTTTGTAGAAATATTGGAGTAAGCTCTATAGCTATTAACCATCATGTGTCAACTATATTCAGCCCATCTAAATATACATAATTTCTCCCTCTCGCTACAAACGTTATAAAATGTAAAAGTAGGCGATAGCTTACACTTCCTTCTATAAATAAATAATGTGGTAATATATAATTACTCCTTTTATAAAGTAAGAAACGTAATTTATTTGTTAATCCTCTACACGTTTGTGTGAATCAGCATAGATCTCAAAAGTAAATCTAATGTGTTGAATTAAAACACTATAGAATACATTATTTTGATTACAATTTTAGTAAGTCGTTAACACAAAAACAGACAGACTGAAGAAAGAGAATTTTTATATTCTTAGATATAAAACTACACATTCTGACGATTTGAATCAAGATTATCATGGTACTCCTGCTATAAGTTTAATAATAATGTTAGTGATAATTTATTTTGTTTAGACAGTATTAACAGAAAGAAAAGGTTAAAGTAGGTAAATTTTATATATTTTTTTATAGACAAGTTTTATATACTTGCTAACATTCGTAGTATTTATATTTAATTTTCAAAAAAAATCACACCAAACGTTTAATTTCTGGTACTTTTAAAATTTAGGTTTGAGTAAATAATTTAAATGATATAATTAAATAATTACCAATAACAAAATCATCATACATAGTAATTAATTTTAAATATAAAATTTCCAATGATTTGCAAATTTTTAAAATTCTTTAGCACAAATATTTTCCTTTAAAAAAAGTTAAAACCTATTAATATTTTTTAAATATAAAATTACAATAGGACCACTTATATAAAATTATAAAACTTTTAAAAATAATTTAGATTTAAAGAACATATGTAATTGTTATTTAAACAATTATAATTTATAAATTGTTATTATAAATTCGTTTTATAAACGTATTGCTCGGACTTTGGAAATAATTATTGGTTTTACTTTAAGGAATATTACAAGACAAAGTGGTGAATACAGAATATATAAAAATTGATATATTTAATTCTATAAAGGAAAAAGATAGATGATTGTACACCAAAACTTAATTATTCAACATATTATCCTCCATATTGGTATTTGTGTCCAAACATAATATCGGAGAGTCCAATGGCAATTTCGTGGACATGCGTTACAAACAATTTTGTGAATTTTCTTTACCGTTTAACCCTAATCCCCCGATTTAGACAGGCATTAGAACTTAAAAGTTCATATTTTAGGTACTTGTTGTTTGCTTAACTACGTAAAAGAACGAGTTTGACGTTGTTGTTTGTTTGTTTTTTCCTTTATTTTTGAACTATGTAAGTGCTTAAAGCTCCAAGGAAGTGAAAGTTAGGAAAGCATGTTATGATACCGCGTCCAAAATGTTCGTGTCTGTTGCTTGATTGTGTGGCAAGATCTGCTCAAAATCGAGTCCGAAAACTTAAGTTTGTATTTTAAAATGTTTATTTTTCGGTGACCTAAATACGCTTTTTTTAATGGACCTTGACCAACATGGCTGATTACAATTGTATGCATTTTACCGTGTCATCAAATGTGCATTTCTAAACTTTTCCCTTAAATAATAGTTGTTGTTTCTCCCATGAACCCCTTCCCACTGGCACAGCGGTATGTCCGCGGACTTACAACGCTAGAAACCGGGTTTCGATACCCGTGGTGGGCAGAGCACAGATAGCCCATTGTGTAGCTTTGTGCTTAACTTCAAACAAACTCCCATGAAAGTATATTCATTACTTCAGTCGCTCAAATGGAACTTCTAGCTTTATGGGAATCTCTGGCCTATTATTATATATTATGAGAAATCGCTATAACGTCTGAAATGGAAGATGTAAATGGCCGGATCGATCCAAACGGACCGTGACGAATATCATCATCTCGATGGGGAAGTGCCTATCTTTTGTTCAGTACTAAAATAGTAATTTCAAGTCACATTATTTTTTGTTTTTATGTATTCTCCAATAGTGATATAATCAAAAACTCTTTTCAATTTAACATTCTTGTGCAATGCTTGACACATATATGCGCAAACGTATTTGTAATTGTGTCCTTTAAAAAAATCACATCTGCAATTAATGTAACGGAATTGGATCAATTAAACCTGATAAGGACCAGTTAGAATTTTTGTGAAGAACCGATTAAGAATTTCGGATCCTGATATCTATGTATTGTTACGACAGCGGAAGTCACGCGACGCTGGAAGCATGCTCGCTGGAGTTTCTAGAAGGATCATGACTTATCGAACCCCGCGAATGATCATGGATTTCCTAGTGCGTTCGGGACACCCCTTTTTTTAGTGTATAAGCCTGCGGGATGATAGATTGAAGAGATAGATAACTGAGTCAAGCGAACAGTAGGCATCGTAAGTAAAGTGTGTGAACCACTGATTTATAGCGTGTGTTATAAAGGTTGTTAAGTTTAAAGTGCCCTAACCACCTGGCCATGCCGGGCCTCCATAACTAACAGAGTGCTGTAGTTTAAAATAGTAGCACTCCCACAGAGTGCTGTAGTTTAAAACAGTAGCTACAAACTTCTACCTAATCAGAAAAAGGGTATAAATAGTGTTGTTTTGATGTTCTTAATAATATCTATAATGTAACGTACAACAAAATCTAATCCACATCGGGTCTTTTTTTAAATTCCTTATTTTTTTTACGAGCTGTTTCTTCGCGAAAAACTTGAAATTGAACATTTTTTTAACATTTTCTAACAATTTTAATGCTTTCGTTAATTTTTATTGATCGTTTACCCATAATCCCTCGATTTCGACCGGTGTTGAAACTTTTTATATATTTATTGATTACTTAACTACGCAAAAGAAGGAGTATGACGTTTTTTTATTTGGTTTATTATTTGTGTAGCATATAAGTGCCTAAAGCACCAGTTAAATTTTTGAGCTTCAGGGAAGTTAAACACAGTAAATTATGTTACAATACCACATCCAAAATCTTCGCGTCTCTTACTTGACTTTGTATCAAAGTCTGTTAAAAATCGAGTCCGTGACTGGAGTTTGTATTTTCCAATGTTCCCTTTTCAGTCCCACTTTGTTGTAATGTCGTATCCAGAAATATTAATGTCTTTTAATCAACGTATAATTCATGTCGTTTGGTATGATATACGAGCAAACTACTGAACCATTTGTGTTAAAAAAATATTTCGTTAGTCGCGTTATTTTAATATATTATGAATCCAATGTTATGCCATTATAGGTTTTTACATCTATCAAAAAACTTAATTAAATAATAATAATTTTTTACTGATTTCTACGTAAATTTAGAGCCCCATCTATGGAGGAACTGTTCAACTGATTTGGTCCTCTTGTAAGCTTTGGTAAAGTATAACAGGACTGTTTTATGAGCGAAGTGTACGGAGACGTAAGGTTCGTACACTTTTATCACTTTTCGAACGTTCATATTTGTTAAATTGTTATTTATCTATTCAATGTTAATTTGGGTGGAAATTTTTTGTGAAACTTAGCAAACATGTTACCATTAGCCTATTTTAATAAACTGAAGAAAGTGAATAATAAAATATTAAGCTTACTTCTAATGAAATACGATATATATTTTGTAAATAAATCCGTTTCCATGCCATGTGCCAATGTTATTAGAGCCTGTAGTAGTACCACTACCAGTACACCTTACGTGAGTATTCAACCTCTCATACAAATTAATTTAATCATTTGAAATTAACTGTAGTTTAATCATGCGTCGACGTAGTTAAACTGTTAATTCACAACTCATGTGTAGAATGAAGTTATGATACTTAGCAGTGAGACTCAACAAACATTAGAAACATGGATATTGCCTTTTTTATTGTCTACTGCTATAAAGCTTTTAAACTTAAAGGTGAGACCTGTGGTTTTACTTGTTTAACGAAAGTTACGAAAATATGTTCATGATTCTAATGATACAAGAATACAGTTATACAAGGTTTATCACTGATTTTCTAATACAGTAGAATTCCAAACAACTTGTACTGTTGTATATACAGGAGCGTGCATTTCATTTGTGTGTCACTGACTGCTACGACTACTGGTGGTAGGCTAGTACAGCACTTTTACAGACACAATACAGTGGTGTAGGAGGCAAATTAAAAGTGGGGGAGGCCCAAGGTTTATTTGACTGAGCAAAGTGAGGGAATGTGTGTCACAGGCACACCCATAACTACTGGTGTCCAGGGCTTGCATTAGAGCTCTGGAAACTCTTGTGTTATGGATTAAATTTTATGCATTCTCCTGCTTTTCTTAAGAGTAATTTTTCCTACTTTTGATGCATTTTTATTGGGATAGATTGAAAAATGTGGGGATGGACCCCCCCTTCCCCCTGCAATATAGTTGTAGTAGTTTCGTATGGTGTTTCTCACACCTCCAAATTGTTTTGGAGGTGAGTATCCAGAGGAGTAGGACTGGTGTCCTAGTCCGGACACCAGATGAGCATGTTTTGGTGTGATGGGGATTCGAACTCGAGACCTGCAGATTACAATTTAGTCATTATATATATGTGTGTGTGTGTGTGTATGTATATATATATATAAAGAATAGTTATACAAATAAAAACAATAAATATTAATATGAAGATTTTTGGTAGAATATTCAGAATAAACCTACGCCTATCCTTACATTAGTAGACAACTTTAACCTGAAGAAATGTCAACCTGTCAAAACACTAGTTTCTTGGGTCTTTTGAATGATTTATGTAACTGATGTGTTTGGTCTGATCTTTTTTAATGTGATTTACCTAACTCATTTGATCCTACATGCATTTTACTGTCATGAAAAAGTCCATTAGTTGAATTATAAACATCAATGGTTAAAATATGCTTATAATTTGATTAACTTTTTGTGTAAATCAAATATTTGCTTAATACTTTCATGCTGGAACTATCTTTTAAAAACATTCTGATTAAGAAGCTAGCACACAGGATCACACATAAAAGTTGTATTGGTTTTCAAATGAGACCCAAAACTCGAGAGTTTTCAAATAGTTCACAATTCGTCATTAGGTGAATAGAGGGTGATGTTTAATTAGTGTAATTCGTTAATTAGTGTAATTCATTAGTAAAAACTTTCATATCCATATCTTGCAAAACTGAAATTATTATTTTAGCTTTAATTAAGAAAGAGTAGAAAGATATATGAAGTTATTGTATGTGTATTAGCTTTAGTTAAGAAAGAGTAGAAAGATATATGAAGTTATTGTATGTGTATTAGCTTTAGTTAAGAAAGAGTAGAAAGATATATGAAGTTATTGTATGTGTATTAGCTTTAGTTAAGAAAGAGCAGAAAGATACAT